AATACCACTAGGACCCAGCGATCATTGTGTCCGGGTCTTTGACTACACGATCGAACTTAAAACTATGACCACGAAACAAGAGGTCAGGAAAAGGAGAGTCGACTGTAGAAAAGGGAATTACAAGAGAGCAAGAAAGTATCTGGGAAAAGTACAAATGGAGGGAAAAAACAGAATGAAAACAGCACAGAAATTGATGGACCAAGTGGAATGGAGATCCAAAGTGACTGAAGATCGTTTCATACCAACAATAAGGGAAAAAAGAGGAGAAAACCTATTCCATGGCTTAATAAACAGTGACAAGAAGCAAAACAAAAAGCATGAGGGAGTGGAGAAAGGACAGAAGAAAAAGGAAAACAGGAAACAACAGGAGGAAAACAAGGAAACCAGACAAACCCCTTGCAGGAAGAAAGGCACGAGGAAGAATAGAATAACTTGAGAATGAGCAATTGGAAAATAAACCAGGTAATAGACAAGACAAGGCTGATGAATGGCAGGATAAGACATGGTTGGGAGTGAGGCAGGTGACCGAGGAGACTCACCTGGTGAGGGGGGAGGAGAGCGCCTGATTGGAGGTGAGGCAGGTGACTGAGGAGTTGTGATGGGACCGTCGTGGAGTGAAGGAGAGGCGGGAGCGGACAGTCACTCGCTTCCCATCAGGCATGGCCTCGGTCGCCAGGATGGACCCCGTTCTGATCGTCTCACGTCGACTATCATCAACCCACTGTATCTGCAGGTGAGTAAGAGAGGTGCTGGTTAGTGGGGGGCAGGAATATTGACCTCCAGATTAGAAAGGGGAAACCTGTAAACTGGCAATAAACAGCTCTCAGAATTAACTAACCGATTTAACTTCAGTCATTGGCAAACTCATGCAATCAATCATTGGAAATCAGGCAATACAACATTTGAAGTGTAAACTAATTCAAAGTTTTCTCGAGCATTGATTAAAATTCAACAAATCTTGACTTCTCACGTAATATTTCTAATATACGCCATGATATTTCTAGTATACTCTCTCTCAACGAGCCAAGGCAGCATATGGGATATGCGCAATGCACCAAAGGCAACCTATGAACCACGACATGCTTAAAAGGACTCAACCTGCCGTTCATGCAAACTCACTATAGGTGTTTGAAGGTACCAAGATGCTATTCCCAGTCCAAATGATTGATAAAGATTAAGCCACACACAAAAGGTGGCACGGGCATGAATAGCCCGTAAACTCAAGTCCAGTTTTGACACGAATGTATACAATGATACCACATTACCTGATGTATATCTATTGTAAAAGCTTTGCAGGGTGACCCGGTGAACGATATTTCTATCCCGAAGTCCTGATACAGAGGTTTCGTCAAAGAAGAGTTTGTTATGGCTCGTGCTGGAATAGCTGTGTCGAAGCTGCACTACTCAATATTTTCTGGCCGCTGCTTTATTCTGCGTGGCGGAGTTGAGCTGCGCTTGTTACAAGTACCTAAGGGTACGCGCGCCACAGTGGTGGATTTGCAACATGCAACAGTGTCAGATTGGTTCAAAATGTTGACGTGTCTGTCTGTTTCCTTTACCAGGGCGGGTTTGCAGAGGACGAAGCTCATAGCTCCGTTAGAGTCCCGCCCTCCTGGTCTCTGGTGATTACTTTATGTTATTTGAAGGCATTGTTTGAGCCATTCTCTCCTGTCACACCTTGTTTCTCTCTCTCTCTCTCTCTCTCTCTCTCTCTCTCTCTCTCTCTCTCTCTCTCTCTCTCTCTCTCTCTCTCTCTTCTCTTCTCTTCTCTTCTCTTCTCTCTCTCTCTCTCTCTCTCTCTCTCTCTCTCTCTCTCTCTCTCTCTCTCTCTCTCTCTCTCTCTCTCTCACACACACCCCAATCACTCGTACTTTTATTGGGTTATCCTCCCCCTTCCCTCTTCTCACTGGACCTTTACTCTCACCTGGTCATATCTCCCCGGACTGAAGACTTGTTGGGCGTTAATCTACTGCTCTCTCCTCCCCTCGCTCTCCCTCACTCTCCCTCTCCTCCCCTCGCTCTCCCTCACTCTCCCCCTCATCCTGTAGTTGTGTATACAGAAATGCATTATAAAATAAAAGTTTTCTCATCAACCATCTGTCAACCCCCTCTTTCTCAATCCCCTCTATCTCTCATCCTCCACTCTCTCTCACCTCACCATTGTGATCAACACCATATCCTCCTCTCCACTTATTGTGTGTCTGTGACTGATGTACTCTCACAAAGCTATCATTCCCCTCTCTCTCTCTCCCAGGCCACACTTGCCCTCTCTTTCATGTCCCCTCAGTCTCACAGCTCTGTAATTCTCTTGACACTTGTTGCAACTGTGTCCTTTGCACCTCCCCTCATCTCTCTCCCCTCATCTCCCTCCCTCCCCTCACAACCTACCCTCATCTCTCTCTCTCCCTCCCTCTGTCCCTCTCTCATCTCCTTCATTGTTTTTTCCCATTTACATATTCCCTTTATCTCCTATACCCCCTCTACACCTTTCATCTACATCTCCCCTCTACATCATCGCCTCTACACTGGGGCAACTACCCAAAGTTGATTCAAACTCTAGAAAAAGCTTTTTTCTTTCCTCTGCAGGAAAAGTTGTAGTGGCTCTTTTCTCCTTTTCATTCCTCTTTCCTTTTGTTTTCCTGGGGTGTCATGAGTAGTATATGTGATGGTATAAAAGATCGCGCCAACGTCCACAAATGGACTGTTGGACGGAGAAAAGTTGACATATTGTTGGCATACTCCAGAAGGCGTGCTACAGTGGACCAGTAATTACAGAACCTGTAATTACTGGTCCTAATTAATCTGTCCTAACTTAATAAGCAATCTTAGGCCTTATATATATATATATATATATATATATATATATATATATATATATATATATATATATATATATATATATATATATATATATATATATATATATATATATATATATCTTCCTTTCCCATTCTTGTGGATTTTCCGCATATATATAACGGTCTTCTTCAGTCGTCTTATAGGTCAGTGGGCAATGGTTATTTGCCCAACCATTACCATCTTTCGTCAACCATGGCGGCTTTGTTTACATTTATTAGTCAGTTTATGAGCACTGAAGAACCACGAGTTTTTTTTATGACACCATTTACCGTAGAGGTTCGTATATAACCACTTCAAACTTTCTCAAGTGAATGTTTCTCGTGGCGAAGGTGTTCAAAGGTTAATTTACCTGACGGGGGATTTTTCCCTCTCCCTCCTGGATGGTGTTCTGTCTTTCTGTTCCATTCTCTCTGCCCTTTCTATATTTTAGGTCCAGTTCCATCAGCACCATTTTCTCTGGTGTTGGTGTCCCCGCCCCTTCAACGGGCGAGGGGTTGGCCCCCTCTCTAACACTGTTTCTCACTCACGTATCCAGGCTTTCCCCTCTTTCCTTCACCTACCTAGGCTTCCCTCCCTCCCTCACCTGCACCTACCTAGGCTTCCCTCCCTTCCTCTGGTCCGCCCTCACTCTCATCATCACTAACATTTGGGTTATAACTTGATCTCTTCCACTTATTTATATATACTGTCTCGGTTATGATAGGCGCTATAACAGCCACAGTGTGAGCACATTTAATATCTCCCTTCATACCAATGTTATTTAAATTTATCTGACTCCAATATTCTGTGGTGAGAGCAGAGATACTGCTGATCTAGCAGGATTTTTTTTCAAATGATAAGAGAGGGGGAGGGAATTATCAGGGGGGGGGGAAGTGCCAAGCCATTACGACTATATAGCACTGGGAAGGGGTCAGGATAAGGATTTGAGATGGGACGGGGGGGAAGGAATGGTGCCCCAACCACTTGGACGGTCGGGGATTGAACGCCGACCTGCATTAAGCGAGACCGTCGCTCTACCGTCCAGCTCAAGTGGTTGGTTGATCTAGCAGGAGTTATAGCGCTTACTTTTCTGCTGGTTGTCCTTAAACAGGTTCCATTCTCCATCTTTGCTGTAAGAACCGGTTCAAATCCAGAGCAACAGGGCTGGAACTTATAGAATTAGACAAGAGAGCTTGAAGCGAACGTGTCAGGCAAGAGAACCCCCCCCCCCCAGAGGTAAGAGGTCAAAACAGGTGGGTCAATCAAGAGAGGTCAGAGGTCACTTGCTATCGTGTCCGGTCCTGTAGGTCAAGAAGCCCTTGTCTCCTGGCCGGCTCATCACACGTGTTCAAATGACCTCCTCTCTGGGGGGTTATTCTATCGTTATCTTTCAGCCAACACAAAAGAGGAATATATGATATAGTCATTGTTTACACTATTGTGTTGTTATCTGTGTTGACAGTTACAGCTCCTGAACCTCACTACGATAACCAAGGAGGAAAATATTCAGATATAAAAGTCTTTTATATCTGAGGGGGGACCTGCTGCCTGGGTAACAGCTTCTTCCCCGAATCAACCTACCCTGGCTTTGCGCCCTGGTGAGGCCACTCCAGACCGACACCAGAGTGCAACTCCATAGTCTCCTGAGACTGATGGATGCCTACTACTATGCTACTCTCTTTAACTCAGTCATTACACCCCGGACACTGACATACCACTGGCTACGTCTCGAACTCATACCACTGGCTACGTCTCGAACTCATACCTCAGGCGGGGGTCGTCCTCCACGGCTCTCACACTCGAGGGTAACGGTCATGCCAGCGGTGGTCCTCAAGATGGCGGGTTTGACTCTAGGCGGCTCCGGTGGCACATATACAGTGAGCCGCGCCGTGTGGGACCTGATGCCAGGCACTCCATCGCTGGCACTCACTTGGCACTGATAGAGGGCGTCGTCCTCCAACAGCACCGGCTGGATTCTCAAGCTGAAGTCTCCTGAGGGCAGCAAGATGGCGTCGTTATCACCAGGTAAACAACGATTGGGATTATTAGAAAATATAAACATATATTCAAAGGACTCAAAAATTAGGAAAGTTACTCCTAAATCAGGGAACCGAAATTAGGAAATCGGCTCCTATACCTGGTACTGAAAGTCATGGAATAATATTAACCAGGAAAAGGAGAAGTGCCGAGTAATAATGGGACGGAAAGGCGCCAGTCTTGATGGAAAAGCAAAAATACGCCCCGTGTAGGGAGCTCCGCGCCCCACGCTCGTCCCACGAGAGAGAGTAACTGTGAGCAACTGTAATTGTGAGAGAGAGAAAGTGAAATAGAGAGGGGGAGACAGGAGAACAGAGAGTGAAGGAGGGGAAAAGGAAGAGATAGAAGTAGAAAGTTTGACATAGAATGAGAAGAGGTAGAGAGAGAGAGAGAGAGAGACGGGAAGGGGGAAATGGAAAATATAACAAAAGACGAGAGGCAAACGTGGGGTAAGAAGCAAGAACAATAAACCATGAATAAAGAGGAAGAAGCAACAAAGAGACACACATTATCACCCCGCTCGTAAATTCTCTCTTTTCTCTCTCTCTCTTTCTCTCACCTGGAGGTATTCCACAACATATCTTACCTCAACTGTCACTACTTGAGAAAACTAGACGGAGACGAAGGGTGATCGGGAAGGGGTAATGGGGAAGGGGTAATGGGGAAGGGGTAATGGGGAAGGGGTAATATCGGGGAATAGGTAAAAGGGAAAAGGGGTACTGGGGGTAATGGACCCCCCAATAATATATTTAATTAAGTAACATTTCCATCCCCCTCATTCTCCTTCGAGATAGTATTGTACCCTGGAACTATTTAGAGATTGTGCATATTAGATTGTACTTATGGGTGCAGATGATGACCTTTGACCGGGGATGTTCCGTGACGTCTGGGGCGGCTAACGAGGACGGGTCATATAGATTTATTTGCCTTTTCATTTTGTAAATATTTGCCAAGTGAAGCGAGCCTCATTAATTCTAATCTCGAGTTTTTGCTTTTCAATTCTTTTTTTTTGTTGTGTTCAAGTTGTAGTGGTGATGAACACAAGTTCAAAGTGCCGACGGCAGTCTAGTGAACACGGAACAATTTAGTTATAAAGTTTGAGAAGAGGCTACTAAGGTAATGTATAATCTTTTTCTGTGCAATTTCATTATTTTTAGAATTTTGTATTTGATTCTCTCGCAAAATACAGCATGGCGTCACGCAAAATACAGTATGACAATATTTTGCTGTATTTTGTATAGGTACCTGGGAGTTAGACAGCTGCTACGGGCTGCTTCCTGGAGATGTGTATTCACCTAGTTGTATTCACCTACTTGAGCTCTGCTCTTTCGGCCTACCTCTCAACTGTCAATCAACTGTTACTAACTACGATTTTTTTTCCACACACACACACACACACACACACACACACACACACACACACACACACACACACACACACACACACACACACACACACACATACACGTGGTCTAGCACCTACAAGACGGTAGTTAAGAGGGTAATTAATGCGCTCTAAGACGGCCCCGCGTCATTACAAGAGACAGGAGACGGAACAAAGTTAACAGTCTCGCGCCCAACCTTAAAAATGGAGAAAAGTTAAGGGACATGTTTAATTAGTTTTTTAAACGAGTCTGTAAAAGTCGGACCATTGGAGGAGGCAGAGTATGACGTCGCGACGACGTCACTAAAGTGTGACGTAACTCCATGCGTCGCGTCGTCTTAAACATAATACGTCATGAAACAAAAGCAGTTGCTAGGTGAACAGAGACATCAGGTAAAAGGAGCAAAATACAGCATGAAGCGACAAAGGAACAGGAAACAATTGAAAAAAACCTAGAACAAAACAAGGAAAGAAAATGGAAAAGTTTTAAGAAGAAGGAAAACGGTGTAGATAAGCGAAGGGGGGGAAACTAAAGCATACTGACCCTCATCGTCCGACCCGATCATCGCGTAGCGGGAAAAGCCAAACAGGTCCCGTTCGGTGCCCAGGCCGAACCCGTCCTTGGTCCACTGCAGGTGCCCCACCTTGTTGATCACCCTGCAAAGTCACCACCACACATTACATCTTAATAACATCCTGCAACACCGCATTGCAGGATGTATTAAAATACATCCTAGTACATGAAACAAGTCACTATCCTCCTAGTACCCAGTATTCATCTCCTTAGGAAGCCGGACCTTAGACAAACTACCGGCATCCTGTCCCCAGTCGAGGCCACTAAAGAGGATAATCATCTGTTAAGGTAAATTCAGGTATATAACATACTACCTTTCTTTTAAAATTAATAGACATGTCATTTCAACCAAAACTGATTTACAAGGAATTACAGATATAAATTGACATTTATCAATCTTGCAATGCAATTTAATATTTTCTACATGTAATTTAACAGCTAATTTCCTTTACTTAACAGGCTTTTATGGACAATTTAACTCATAGACGATAAGGAGAACAAATAATTGTCTGATAAAACAAGAATTAATAACAAACAAGGAGAATGAGTAGATGAAACATGTAGAGTGATGAGTAGATGAAACATGTAGAGTGATGAGTAGATGAAACATGTAGAGTGATGAGTAGATGAAACATGTAGAGTGATGAGTAGATGAAACATGTAGCGTGATGAGTAGATGAAACATGTAGCGTGATGAGTAGATGAAACATGTAGCGTGATAAGTAGATGAAACATGTAGAGTGACGAGTAGATGAACCTTGTAGAGTGATGATTAGATGAACAAGGCACGATATGGGCGGAGAGGAGACCGGACAGCTGATGAATTGAATACAGCTCATACAAGTTCTCTCAAAGTACTAACACAAAGTACTCGGAGTATGATGAGTGGTAAACAATAAGGAGATGGTAAGACAAGACAAAACGGCACCTTTGTCACTCGTGGCGACAAAGGTGCCACGAGTGACTTGATGACAGCATCAATAAGACATAAAGGTCATCTCAGCAACACATTAAAGCAGAGGTTTGTGGCATGGGATTAAAGCTAGACTTTCCAGGCCAACACAGCACCAGGGGGGGGGGGGGGTGTTACATCAGCCCAAGGGCCGCTAGTTTGTCTACATAACTAGGGAGGTACAGCAGTTACAGCCCCCTAGATACAGACCTCCAGCCCGGTACATGAGGCTGGCCGCATGGGTGTTAGCAAAGTCTGATGTTTGAACCCAGATGATGGGAGGTGATCTCTCAGCCTCCTGCAGGAGGTACAGAGGACTCACCTGCAGGGCAGGACAGCCGTGGAGCCCACCACCGCCGTCTGGGGTGTAGGTTGTGTAGCGAAGTGCTGGACGCCTTCTCTGCCAAGGCTCTGCACCGCTGAGCCGCCCATACCAGGCCCAAGACGCACCTCCTTCTTCGCCGTTCCTGTTGCTGTCGCCCCTCCTGCTGCTGCTGCTGCTGCTTCTGCTGCCCCTCCTGCTGCTGCTGCTTCCTGCTGGACTATCCCTGCCGCCCACATGGCGTCGGCGCCCACATACGCCCATGACGCCCACAGCACCCACACCCAGGAGATCCACCACGTGAACATCGCCTGTGGGGGAGAAACAAAAAATAATCATTTTAGTATGAAAATGTTAGTATCAGTCTTAAAATATTTGGTGGAAATATTCGTCGGAAACTTCCTTGGTAATATATATATTCAATATTTCCCCCTTCTCCCGATGATACTTGATCAACCGGGCTGTGATTCACCCGTCAGACTGTGAGGAGCAGCAGCGGCGGAGTCAAACAGCCTGGTTGATCAGAGCCCCAACAAGCAAGCCTGGCCAGAGACCAGGTCATGGTAATAGGAAGCATCTCAACGTAACACATCTGTAATATTTTCTTGGCAAGAATATCATAATTTACCTCCGTAAATTAGGGGAGGGCAGGCAGTCTCCTCGGGGCATCACCTGACACAAACTGCCACCCACGTGACGAATTGCTCCCATGTAAACAATGCCAGGAGAGGTCGCGGTCAGGCCCAAGGTTAACAAGCAATTACACAACTGGCAAGGTTGGACGGAGCAGCAAGGCCAAGTGCAATTATGGCTATAATTTAACGACTTAAATTAAGACCATCAGGCTCGTCTCTCGAGTGCTTCACACACACACACTTGAGTGCCTCACACACACACACTCACACTACTGGAATCTTTCCTCACCAACTTTCCCCCCAAAACAATCTCAGTTCCTTAGTTTTTGTTCCAATCTTAGTGACTTTCTTGAATTCCGTCTCACAGACGTGTTGCTGGCTGCTACTTAACCCGCCAAACACACACCGAAACTACGACGTTGATACAACGTTCGAACAAGTTTTAACACCTCCTAACCAGTTATAACAACCAATATAGCAAGTTGTAACAACCTTCTAATACGTCATAAAACACGTTAAAGCCAAGACGTAACAACTTTATTACAAGTTGTAACAAGCGGAAAATAGAGACAGTTTCGGTTTGTGTTTCCAGGGATGCTCTCTACTATCTACTATCTACTATCATCTACGGTGAATATAATAACATGGGAATGAAGGAAACTGTAGAATTATACTATTAGCCCATATATGACACCTCCTATTTATAGCCACCCAAACTCACTCATATACATGTCTAACCTACGCTTGAAACAATAGGTGTATGTCTTTAATGTAATCCTTTTTTATCCTTTTTAATAACTTAATCCTTTTCTTATTCGTAATCCTTTTCTGCCCGAAACGCTGCGCGTACTAGTGGCTTTACAAGAATGTAATTACTAAGCTATGTATCCTCACAATCCCAATGTACCTTCTTGTATATATATATATATATATATATATAAATAAATAAATATAGTTTCTGCAAGTTTACCCTGGCCCAAGTGAACTGTTTTTCATGTTTATTTTCAGGTCTCTGAGGGCTGACTTCTACTTTGAGGGCTACCTCTGTCCCTGAGAGCCGTCCCTGAGGCCTACTCTTTGCCCCTGAGTCGTGCCCTTGTTCCTGAGGGCTGCCCCTGCTGTATTTATGAGATGTGGAATCTCATAAATACAGCAGGGACTGTATTCTCATAAATACACCTCCACGCCCCGACAAGTGGCTTCCACAATATCTTCTCCACTCTTTGAGTAGCCATGTTAAGACTTCTTGAGTAGCCATGTTAAGACTTCGGCAGCGCTAGTGACTTCACCGTCATGATGTGACTTCAGACGTCGTTTTGCTGCTTGTGTTGTATACTATACAGCTTTGGGTGTATACTTTCACGCGCGATAAATAGCATACACGAAACATTGACGAAAATACGAACTCTTTAATACGAACGTAAAATCCGGTCCTACGTTCTGGCTCAAGTGGCCTCCAATGAACGAATATCCGGCTCTCATGCGCGCCAGTTTCCTCAAATCAAGTGAATTTCTGTATACCATTTGTGAGTGATCCATGAGTTTACCTTCTCTGATTGCGAGCGAATACGTATATCATATTATTTATCGCCAAGGAGCCCGTGTATGTGTGTATGTGTATGTATGTGTGTGTGTGTGTGTGTGTGTGTGTGTGTGTGTGTGTGTGTGTGTGTGTGTGTGTGTGTGTGTGTGTGTGTGTGTGTGTGTGTGTGTGTGCATGTGTGTGTGTGTGTGTGTGTGTGTGTGTGTGTGTCTGATAACGCCTCCACAGGGAGGAACTTTTCCCGAAGTGATGGAGGACTTTCCGTCGAAGCTGTAGGTATAGTGCCTTCATTAAAATTCCTTTCGTGACTAACAGGCTGAGCGGCGAGGCAGTAGACCGTGTCCTTCCTCAGGCAAAGTATCGCGGGGAATAAAAATGTAGCGCGAAGTTAAATGAATTCGAGTCATCATTATCGAAGTGAAACGTCGAGGTCGGGTCTGTCTGTCTGTCTGGTTATGGAAGTCGATTGTCTTTGTCTGACGATCTGATGGAAGTCGACTGTCTGGGGAGTGGAGGGGGGGGGGGCAGGGGGGTATAATAACTACAGATAAATGTAACTAACTCACCACAAATGTCAACTGATCGGCTTAAGAGATTGCTGCGGCCCTGTTCTTGGCACTACAGACCGATGGTACATGCATTAATCTCGGTAAATTAGCTTATCATTATTTTAATTTGTTTAGCCAAATGAGTTTGGGGGTGTGGGGTCCACTACCACCCACTGGATGGGTGTGGGGTCCACTACCGCCCACTGGATGGGTGTGGGGTCCACTACCGCCCACAAGATGGGTGTGGGGTCCACTACCGCCCACAGGATGGGTGTGGGGTCCACTACCGCCCACAGGATGGGTGTGGGGTCCACTACCGCCCACAAGATGGGTGTGGGGTCCACTACCGCCCACAGGATGGGTGTGGGGTCCACTACCGCCCACAGGATGGGTGTGGGGTCCACTACCGCCCACAAGATGGGTGTGGGGTCCACTACCGCCCACAAGATGGGTGTGGGGTCCACTACCGCCCACAAGATGGGTGTGGGGTCCACTACCGCCCACTGGATGGGTGTGTGGGGTCCACTACCGCCCACAGGATGGGTGTGGGGTCCACTACCGCCCACAGGATGGGTGTGGGGTCCACTACCGCCCACAGGATGGGTGTGGGGTCCACTACCGCCCACAGGATGGGTATCTTGTATAAAATAAATTAGCAAAATCAAAGTCAATTATCAGTGGAATATAGCGATAATGACCCATTAACACCAGTGGGCACCATAATGACCCATTAACACCAGTGGGCACCATAAAGACCCATTAACACCAGTGGGCACCATAATGACCCATTAACACCAGTGGGCACCATAATGACCCATTAACACCAGTGGGCACCATAATGACCCATTAACACCAGTGGGCACCATAATGACCCATTAACACCAGTGGGCACCATAATGACCCATTAACACCAGTGGGCACCATAATGACCCATTAACACCAGTGGGCACCATAATGACCCATTAACACCAGTGGGCACCATAATGACCCATTAACACCAGTGGGCACCATAATGACCCATTAACACCAGTGGGCACCATAATGACCCATTAACACCAGTGGGCACCATAATGACCCATTAACACCAGTGGGCACCATAATGACCCATTAACACCAGTGGGCACCATAATGACCCATTAACACCAGTGGGCACCATAATGACCCATTAACACCAGTGGGCACCATAATGACCCATTAACACCAGTGGGCACCATAATGACCCATTAACACCAGTGGGCACCATAATGACCCATTAACACCAGTGGGCACCATAATGACCCATTAACACCAGTGGGCACCATAATGACCCATTAACACCAGTGGGCACCATAATGACCCATTAACACCAGTGGGCACCATAATGACCCATAAACACCAGTGGGCACCATAATGACCCATTAACACCAGTGGGCACCATAATGACCCATTAACACCAGTGGGCACCATAATGACCCATTAACACCAGTGGGCACCATAATGACCCATTAACACCAGTGGGCACCATAATGACCCATTAACACCAGTGGGCACCATAATGACCCATTAACACCAGTGGGCACCATAATGACCCATTAACACCAGTGGACACCATAATGACCCATTAACACCAGTGGGCACCATAATGACCCATTAACACCAGTGGGCACCATAATGACCCATTAACACCAGTGGGCACCATAATGACCCATTAACACCAGTGGGCACCATAATGACCCATTAACACCAGTGGGCACCATAATAACCCATTAACACCAGTGGACACCATAATGACCCATTAACACCAGTGGACACCAGAGCCAAGATGGCCACCAATGGAAATTTATTTTATCACTTGTGATGGCATAATTATTCCAGAACAACAAAGTAATTCCACACCTCCAATAGTACACTAATCGAAATTACCTCGCGACCTAAGGTAACTTTCAAAATAGTTACCCCAAGATGGCATGATGTTAAAAGTAAATATATGATGTTAGAAGATGAAGTACCCGGCGTTCCCCGGGTCGAACCCCCAAATGTTGAGTCATTTAAGTGCTAAGAACGCTCAGACTAATCACTCCGATGGTTTGGGCAGTTTAACCAATTTCAGGCTTCATGGGGGAGTGGGAGAGTCGTGGGGGTCGTAATGAGAGCCGTCCTCTCATGCAGGGTGGCAAAGGGGCCAACCAAGACCAACCTATGACCGTCCCTTACCACCCATCACTCACTCCAAATTTGAGTGACGTTAGCCCTAAGCATCTGGCTTCCAAATTTGGATAGCCAGTCATCCTTTATATTATATATATATATAGATGTGGGAAAGAATAACATAGGTTTTTAATAGTGATAGATTTTATAATGTGACACCCTTGAATATAAGGCATAGAAGTCAAGCCTTCTTTGCTCCGAGTATGACGGTTTACAGCCGTTAACGGTTACAACGCTTTTTTAAATTTGAATTTGAATTAACGCGGGAGTTTACCAGACATTAAAGAAAACTGTCGAACAAAACAGATGCAGAATATCACGAACATTTATCCCGTGACCTGCAATCATTGAGCAGCCACTGTATCTCATTGTATACATTTGCAAAAATTGAAAAC